TAAGATTTTTTGTGTACTTTGAGTATTGATATGTGTTTATGTTTAGATATCTACGAGAAGTGTTTTACAACACTTTACCACACGAAAGCACATTGAGGAAGTGGCGTGAAAAATTTGATGCCTCCCGGCCCAGGATTTACAGAGCAAATATAAGTTTAAAAAATTACATTGGAACTAATTAGTTGCTGAGATAGCGGAATCCAAGATCCAAGATGCAAAGATGAAAGAGAAATTATTTTGTGCCAGACAGATATTAAACCGAATCTGTCTCAAAACTGTGTCTAATCTGAATGACAGAACACCCTGACATCTTTAAGAAGGCTGATCATGGAGAACTACATAAATATTCCTTGCTTAGAGAAACTGCACTACTGTACACAGTCCTACGGTTGAAACATCTTGCCAAGAAGAAGAACTTTGATTCAAAAAAGTCAAAAATTAGAAAAAAGTTAAACAAACTTGTTCTTTTTGCCAACCAATAAGTTTGTTCATGGTGATCGTTATTTTGTTTAATAGATTTTTTAATACATTTCTTTATGAAACCATGTAAATTTTATTCATGAGAGAACAAAAAAATTAAAAAGAGTGACGTCCTTATTTGTTTTGTTGTGAGACAACATATGAGAACTTTTGAATCAACACAATAAGTTAAAACCTTCCTCTCAGATCTCTGATTTAAATTTAAACTGCAAAATTACTCATATATCTTGTGTGAATTTTCGAGATTTGTTTGAAAAAGATTGTATTTAAGACAGATTTGAACTTATTTCGCCAATTCAAAAGTGTTCACCTTTAACAGTGAAAGTGATGTATCTTGCTGGGAACCATGCTTTTTTAGTCCAAAAAATACAATTTAAATTCTTTCAACTTATACTATGAGATTTAACATATATTTACTAATTGACTTTTAGACAAAATAATTATTTTGGCATATGTCGAAAAACCAATATAAGGTTAAGAAATTTAAAATAAAATACATCAACAACATTTTTAGCATACAAGTTAGGGCCGAACCGGGGGGGACCGCGCCCCCATGTGCCCCCCTCTTGTAGGATGAAATGGAGGGAGGACTCGCACGCTTGGCTGCGTTAATAATTCTCAGTATTCTCGAACCCGTTTTTATATCAAAAGAGCCATTTTGGATGTTTTGCGTCATGTTTTTCATATTGCTAAATATGCTAAATATTTTTTGAATATTTGAACTTTGCACAAGGAGTTAGAAAAACGACTTGACAAATGTACATTAATTGGTTTCTGCATTTATATTCATGCTTAAAAAGACGTCTACAAAAATCCCCCTCTTCATTAAATGTACATGTTAACTTTTATGTTCAATTATAAGGGTTCTGTACAATTCCCTGTACAAACTGTCCATCAGCATTCCATACTCTACCCTTTCTCCGATCCGTAAACATGAAGACGTCGACGCTTCCCCTACTTTGGAGCGCATCCAGAGTATCTACCCTTAATAAACATACTTGGTTTAATCACAAGAATTTAAAAACCTGATTATAAAGTTATGAACTAGAGTGAACTGAACCCTAATCGTTCAACATACAATATCTCCCTCCTTCTGGACAGTCTTCTAGGAATTCAGAATTAACCGTTCTTTTTATTAAAATTGAACAAAAATAGTTAATTTTATTTTGGTAATGAATCTCTTTAAAAAAAATAAAAGTCCCTTTTTGATGCTGATTTTTGCCTATTATATTAAACTATTTTCGTCTAAATTCTTCTCAAATTAAAGTTCTTTTATTTTGTAAAACCTTTTATGATGATCATAAACCTAATCTACAATTCTTCTCTGGATTATGTTTTTTATCCCATTACTCTTCTTTCTAACTTAAAAAGGTTATTTTTTATCAGTTTATCAGAAAATTTGGGAAATTGTTTTGAACTTTTGAAATCGATTTCCGTCCAAGCTCTCTTTCATGTTAGATACACGTATTGAGAGATATTTTTTCAATTTATCTTTCTAAGTAATAAATTATAATTTTAGTTCAGTGTTGATATATATCTGTACTTGTAGATCTCACCCGTAATCCAACTCCTAATTTGATATTGCCCAAACAGGTGGCTGATTGTTGTCTACCTGCCAGCTTATTTAGCTGGACTGTACACTTACACTATGTTTACCAATAAATGACAGAAGGATTTTCTAACTTACAATATAATAATCAAATATGCACTTCGCTCCCGGCGTATTTACCGTCCTATACATTTAAAAGGATTAGCGTGCAAACGAATTTCTCCGGAATTTTTCTTTGGAAATTCTTGAGAAATTCTCAGAATTTTTCACCAATTTTACAGATTTTTGGGGGAACTTAATAAGAGAAATTTCAGAAATTACTAAATATTTTTCTGGAATTTTTTCCAAGAAATTATTACGAATTTCTCAGGACTGTGAAATTCTCAGGACTTCATCACCAATTTGACGGATTTTTAAAGTTCCGTTCTTCTCCAGTAGGTGTCTTCCCTTTTTTAAATATTTTATTCTTTTCATCCTTGTTGATAAACGTTAGAACCATCTTAAAAGAATTCTTGTTTTAAAAGTGATAAAAAATTTCATTTGTTTTTGACAAATTCATTTCTCTGAAAATACAAAATACAAGAAAACTTCAGTGAGATCAAAAACAACTATAACATGCTGACTTGGTTATACTTCTAAAATATAGATAGATGTTAAGATGTTCACTACTATTGGGTCTAAGAATGAAACGTCCATGGTCAGTGAATTTACTCAGGAATATGCTGAGAATATTTCAAGATATTTCTAAGGAATTCTTGTAGAAAATCTTGGGAAAAATTCCAAGGAAATTCCTAGGAATTGTTTCTGAACAACTTTTCTCGGGGAATTCCCTTGAATTTCCCCAAATTTGGTCGACATATTTTCCGGTTATTCTCCAGAGTTGGTAACAAGATATTCCCCGGGATTGGTCACATGAAGTTCCTTGGAATGGGTTACGTGAAATTCCTCGGATAATTCCTGGAAATTTCCGCGGATTTTCTGCAAAATTGTTAGAGATTAGAAAATCAGAATGTGTGGCAAAGACTCAATTCCCTTGCAGAAAAATTCGCAAAGAAGGTGGTTGCTCTTTGGCCTGTACACATTTTGTAATTATACTCCAGGATTCATTTCCAGGATGCTTATCCAGAATACTTATCCAGGATACTTATCCAGGATACTTATCCAGGACACTTATCCAGAATACTTATCCAGGATACATTTCCAGGATGCTTATCCAGAATACTTATCCAGGATACTTATCCAGTGGCCGAATTTAAAGAATTTGAGCGGCGGTTGAAATTTAAACCGCGGCTTAAATATGGTTGGTTCCACTTAAAATTGTATCAAATGTTTCAAGATTTAAACCGGCGCTTAATTTAAACCGGGTTTTGGCGGATTTAAACCGCGGCTCAAATTCTTTAAATTCCATCTCAGGATACTTATCCAGGATACTTAACCAGGATACTTATCCAGAATGCTTATCCAGAATACTTATCCAGAATACTTATCCAGAATGCTTTCCCAGAATACTCATCTGTTGTTTGTTAGCGTTTTTTCGTGTTTTATAATTCAAATCTTTTGAATAATGACTGAAAAATAAATGTTATTCTGAATTTATATCAAGAGGGTTATGATAACAACCTACGGCCAGAATTTGGAGGTAAGCTTATAAAGTAATTATTATCTTTTTCAAGTTTCTAACTTTAGGCTTTTTAAATTGGTCCCATAATATCGAACTCAAAAGTTTGAAACAGAAAGAAAACCACGACCAGCCTAGCTTACGTAAACAATATAAATGAAGTAAGACATCATGGTAAAGTTTGAATTATTATTATTGTATGATTTGAATTTCTGTTGTAAAAAGAATGTGCTTGTATGTTTATAAATTAATCTGCATACATAAAGGAATTGAGTCATTGCCACACAGATTATTTTATCTAACAAAAATTCATAGCTTTAAATATCTAAGGTCTACATGTACAACATTGGGTTGCAAAGATAGAGGGATAAGAAAATAAAAGTTTGTGGCAAAGACTCATTTATTTTTAAAGTATTTCAACATAAAGTGATAACCAGATAACTCTAAAATAGGAAGACGACTTTCGGACTCAAGTTATGTTTTTTAATAGTCCGGCCAAAGAGCATTGGACACATCAGTGGTGTAGTGAAAACAGACCCATTTCATTTAATTAGCGATTTAATAAGTGTCTAGTAACACTTTTGCTCTGTAACATCGTCAAATGATTCTCATTTCAGAGTTTTCTGGTTACCCCTGTACAGGGTGTCCCAATAAACATTGGAATTCAGTGACGACTTTTTTATCGTCTTCGTTCCGTGCAGCATTTTTTCATGAACACAATTATTGCAGTATTCCAGCTTAGACATCTAATATCGAAAACGCCATGGTCTTGAGATTTTCAAAATTTGGGTCTACCATTTTTGTATCTTAAAAATTGATAAAGATGTTGCGAAATTTGTACAACTTTCAATTTATTTAATAAATCAAAATTGTCTTAATATTTAATATTTTTGTCAATTTTTAAGTTACAAGAAAGATAGACCACTTTAGAAAAAGCTCGTCAGACGTACAGCCTCCATTTTTACTTTCTTTGTCATGCATTAAATATCAGAAATCAAAGACGACTTTCAAGTCGTCTCTCAATTCCCATGTTTATTGGGACACATTGTAGCAAAATTTAAATAAAACTGATAGAATAAACCAGAAGTGTTCTTGAATTCACAGAATCTAAAAAAAAACCCTAAAATATAGACGTAAACTATGCATTGAGGCCCAAAACAATAATTAAAAAGAAATATTTATTTAAAGGGCCTCCCACTACAATAGAAGTGAATATGCAGGTTCGGAGCATGGGTCCTATCTCTGAACTTGATATGGTAATCTATATATAACATATATACTTTGCTTGTTTGTCCGTCTGGGTGTTTTGTTTGCATCCAATAAACGTCAAAACGACTGAACCGATCGGGTTCAAATTTTGTGTGTGACCTTACATGACCCCAGGGAAGGTTTATGAATGATCAAAATTTCAAAAATTTGCCTCCAACAAAGTTTGCGATTTCCATTAAATTAAAAAAAATCCACGAATTTTTTTTTTTATCCGCCAACATTTTTTTTGGTTTTGTTTTACAGACAAAATTGTCACAATTGAAATAGAAGCCTAGTATCTTATAATTGACAGGATCATTTTTCTCGTGTCTTTTCATTTTAAAAGGATGTATCTTTTTCTAGTCAACATGGCTCTCTAAACAAAATACGAGTCTACACAACCTACACATCAAATACGAGTTTTAAATACCATTTTCAGTGATTGTATTTTTTTTTTTTTTTATTTTCAGTCCTACTCTTAGAATTACTATTTTTAAGTCCTACTCTATAGATTCCTATTTTCAGTCCTACTGTATGGAATCCTATTTTCAGTCCTACTCTATATATTCCTATTTTCAGTCTTACTCTATATATTCCTATTTTCAGTCCTACTCTTAGAATTACTATTTTTAAGTCCTACTCTATAGATTCCTATTTCAGTCCTACTGTATGGAATCCTATTTTCAGTCCTACTCTATACATTCCTATTTTCAGTCTTACTCTATATATTCCTATTTTCAGTCCAACTCTTAGAATTACTATTTTTAAGTCCTACTCTATAGATTCCTATTTTCAGTCCTACTGTATGGAATCCTATTTTCAGTCCTACTCTATACATTCCTATTTTCAGTCCTAATCTATATTTTCCTTTTTTCAGTCCTATTCTATGGATTTCTATTTTCAGTCCTACACTACATATTTCCTATTTTCAGTCCTACTCTATATATTCCTATTTTCAGTCTTACTCTATATATTCCTATTTTCAGTCCTACTCTTAGAATTACTATTTTTAGTCCTACTCTAACGATGACTATTTTCAGTCCTACTCTATATATTCCTATTTTCAGTCCTACTCTATTGATTCCTATTTTAAGTCCTACTCTGTATTTTCCTATTTTTAGTCCTATTCTATGGATTCCAGTTTTCAGTCCTACTCTACATATATCGTATTTTCAGTCCTACTCTATGGAATCCTATTTTCAGTCCTACTCTATACATTCCTATTTTCAGTCCTAATCTATATTTTCCTTTTTTCAGTCCTATTCTATGGATTTCTATTTTCAGTCCTACACTACATATTTCCTATTTTCAGTCCTACTCTATATATTCCTATTTTCAGTCCTACTCTACATATTTCCTATTTTCAGTCTTACTCTATATATTCCTATTTTCAGTCCTATTCTATGGATTCCTATTTTCAGTCCTACTCTATGGATTCCTATTTTCAGTCCTACTCTATATATTCTTATTTTCAGTCCTACTCTACATATTTCCTATTTTCAGTCCTATTCTATGGATTCCTATTTTCGGCAGACTTGGATTGACCGACGCCTCTCCTTTACTGGGTTTCAGGTAAAACATTGTATGTTTCTGAATTCAATTGAGAGGATTATTTTAAAATATAATGTGTTTTTCTTATTCTTAAAAAACTTTATCATTTCCAAAAATTTACGAAAAATATTCTTACTAAAATTTCTATCTTTCTTTTTATATGCCCTTGCTGGCTTTGCTTTTCAACATTACATTATTTTATCTCATCTAATTCCCTTGGGTGATTTAAAAATTGTGGATTTTCTACACATTTTTCTTAGATTCAAACTTTTTGCTACATATTTTCTAAATGGAAAAAGGAAGATATGCATGGTCTAGGATGCAATCTCGATCTTATTTAAAACATGAAACGATTTACTGCTTTTATTTAGGCCTCAAATCCATCCTCATTCATATTCCACTTTTATAAGATAAACTTAATTCTATTTAGGGTGCGTTGGCTCTCTCCAATGAAATGCTCCAAAAGGAAGGATAAAATTAAGTAAAAAACTAGATTTCATAAAAGATGAGAATTTAAAAACAACTAAGGAACTCTAGAAATATCTAGGTCAATGTAAAAGTTTAAGTAATCTATTTTCGCTAATCGTACGTTGTATTGTATACATACAGTGATAACCAGAAAACTCTGAAATAAATAGACGACTTCGAGACTCAAGCTATGACTTTAAATAGTCCAATAAGCACGAAACACATCAATTGTGCGGTGTAAACAGAGACATTTCACTTATTAGGGATTTAATAAGAGTCAAATAAAACTATTTGCTATGTAATGCTAAAAAACATCTACACTTAAGTATTGCTATAAAGTCGTCTTCCTATTCCAGAGTTTTCTGGTTATCACTGTACTAAAATTTCAAATGAAAATAACGGGAGATTAGTGCAAAGCAGAAGGAAACCAAGAAATAGAGGCATTTAAAGCCTCAGTGATCATTAGAACAATCTTCTTCACATATTAGAGCTGCGGTATTTTTATTTTTGTGTGTACAATTTAATTAAAAACATTTTTGTTTCCCCATCGGTAACATGGAATAAATGGTATATGAATCTTAATTTAACTGTTTCTGTATAGAGATGATCGTTTTATGCCGAGCGTAGGATGATTTTTGAGATTCAACGGGTAATGCCGATAACTTCCGAAAGTTTAGAATATTATTGTAAATCATTATCCTTCTATCATGCTCAGATTTGGAAACCTGATACATTTGTGTACAACGGGATAAAAGCATATGTACATACAATCACGAAACCAAACAGGTAAATAAATTAAATTTCCCACGCCCCCCCCCTTCACATTTTTTTTGCTTCTTTATCCTACCCTGAAACTTTGTTGTAAATTTTCTATCTTTTAATGTAGATAAAAGAAAATTAAGAGGAATGACTGTTGTTATTATACATGGTAATATTATGATTGGTCTTCATTAAGTTTTAAGAAAATAGACAAGGGCGTATACAGGGGGGGGGCATGGGGGGCAGTGCCCCCCCCTAGACTTGTAAAGGGGGGGGGCGTAGCCCCCCCCTAGAATTCTGCAAGCCTTTCACACTTTTCAAATCTTAACTGAAGAGTGAAGAACACAAAAAAAAATAAGTTTGCTTTTCATGATTATTATAAAAAATCAAAATTTTAAAATATATATAATTACAGTGCAGTGCTCATGCTGTAACCAAGTTAACCTAACCAACCTAACCTAATTTTAACTTTTACGTTCACAGAGTACACAGAGTTTAGTTGGGTTCAGAGAACACACAGTCTGCATACATTTGTACAGCTCACACACTTTACATTATATGCTAGTCTTGTTTAGTAGTGATGTGAGTCTGTTAAAAGTTGCCGTTGTGACTGGTATCTGTGAATTGCTGATTAATAATTATCATGAATCAAATACTGTTATTTATAAGCCTTGAGTTATCATTCATTCTTAGATTGCAGCAATTGTACTCCTACTTTTTTTCACAACAGAAACTTTTACAAGTCATAATTATTTTCTGGACCTTTGTACTTCTTTTCATCTCATAGAATTTAAGTTTAAGTTAAGTTTTTATTTTCAAAAATGTCTTTTACTATCTCTAGTTTAAATACTAAATATACCTATAAAAGTATAATAAAATGTCGATTTTTTAGAAACAATGCTTAGAAGGTAATTATTTGGACTGTATGTGTGCCTTTTAAGTATCTTATATTTATGCCTGATATCCAAGAAGCCAAGTGTTATGAATTTACAGTTCGAATTTTGCCCCCCCCCTAGGAGCTCCTAGGGGGGGGCAAAAAAATTTTTTGCGCTTCGCGCAAATCTTGCCCCCCCCAACATTTATTTCTGTATACGCCCTTGAAAATAGAGTCAGCTTTTTTAATTGATATATTGGAAGAGAAATAATGGCTACAGTGAGAACAGATTCTCGAACCGAACCCCCCCCCCCCCCATCTAATTTTAACATCTTTCCATTTTTGCTTTAGGTCGTCAAATCGTAATAAATAAAACATTTTTATCAGGTTTGTGAGATTATTCGCTGATGGTAGAGTTCTTTATTCTCAAAGACTAACAATTAGGTAAAATATATCAAGGGTGATTTTCTTTACAGTTAACCAATCATTCATAGGACATACATGTTTAAATCATTTATTGAACAAAGATATAATTCTAATAGATTAATTGATTCAGAGCTACCAGTAACAATGATTTTACAATTGATTTATCTTGTGCTGCTTATTGATTGATATCAATTGTTGATCTAGTGCTGTACATGTTTATTTGATTTTACAATTGATTTATCTTGTGCTGCTTATCAATTATTCAATTTCTGATCTAGTGCTGTAGGTGTTCGATTAATTTTACAATTAATTTATCTTATGCTGCATATCAATCAATCAATTGTTGATCTAGTACTATAACTGTTCGATTGATTTTACAATTGATTTATCTTGTGCAGCTTATTGATTATTCAATTGTCAATCTAGTGCTTAACATGTTTATTTGATATTACGATTGATTTATCTGGCGCTGCATTGACTACTAAATTGTTGATCTAGAGTGCTTAACATATTTAATTGATTTTACTATTAATTTATCTTGTGCTGCTTATTGATTGATATTAATTGTTGATCTAGTGCTATACATGTTTGATTGATTTTAAAATTGATTTATCTTGTGCTGCTTATTGATTGATATCAATTGTTGATCTAGTGCTATACATGTTTGATTGATTTTACAATTGATTAATCTTGTGCTGCTTATCAATTATTCAATTTCTGATCTAGTGCTGTAGATGTTCGATTGATTTTACAATTAATTTATCTTATGCTGCATATCAATTAATCAATTGTTGATCTAGTACTCTAAATGTTCGATTGATTTTATTATCTTGTGCTGCTTATTGATTAATCATTGATCAAGTGCTAAATGTTTGATTTATTGGTTGACTTAAATAGTGCTACATGTTTGATTGGTTTATTAAATGATTGAATTAGTGCTACATGTTTGATTAATTGATTGATTGATCTAGTGCTAAATAATTGATTGATTATTCAATTGTTGATTTACCCAGATACTACATATTTTATTATTTGATTATTTAATCTAGTAATACATGTTTTATTGATTAATTGATTGATCTAGTACTAAATAATTGATTGATTATTCAATTGTTGATTTATCCAGTGTTACATATTTTATTAATTGATCAAAAGCTACATATCTGATGAATTGATTGATTGATATAAGGCTCCATATTTAATAAATTGATCGATTTATCTGGTGCTACTTATTAGATTATTTGATTGAATACTCATTCTTATGCTACAAATTTAATTATTTGATTGACTAATCTTGTGCTACATATTTGATTATTTTATTGATTAATGTAGTGCTACAAGTTTAATTTATTGACTGATGAATCTAATGCTACATATCTGATAAATTGATTGATGTTACATAGTTAATCAATTTATTAATTGATCTAGTGCTACATGTTTAATTTATTAATTGATCTAGTGCTACATGTTTAATGGACTTAAAGGATTTTCCAATGGATAAACAGATGTGTCCTCTTCAACTAGGAAGCTGTAAGATTTAAACATTTATTTCTTTTTTAAATTACATTTTTTAATTCATAATTTTACTGAAAATCTTGAACGCTGCAGTCGTTTTTTTTTGCAGTTTTGCATTGTTGAAATATCCAGTTTTCTGTTTTCTGATTTTCACTTTTTTAAACCAAACAAGTTTACTATGTCCAGAAGACATCAATTCATGCATTACAATATGTTAACTGAAATAGACAACTCGGGCCGGGCCTTACTTTCAAGTTCAATTTAAAAATATATATATTTTTTAAAACATGCATTAACATTTTTGAATAAAGATGTTATTTCTGAATATTAACATTTTTATAATTACGCTTAATTATTTTTATAAATCTATAAAACATATTCACAAATATACTGCTAATGACAGATCAGGATTAATGTAATTTTTTGTTAATCATAAACCTTTTTACAAATAAGTATTTTCTTCTTTTTCTCTTTCATATTTCCATCTGACACCGTTTATCTACCCTTCTCTTTCATATTTCCATCTGACACCGTTTATCTACCCCTAAACATTATATTAAAGAGAGTGTTTGCGTCAACTAAAAGGGGGGTTAGGGTGAAACCTTTTCAATATTGTATTATACATTTACCAATATTCAGGATATCAGGTATTTTGCTTTGTTATAAATTCCAAGTAAAGCACAGTAAACAAGATGTTTTTAATAAAATATTTAAAAACTAGATTGTGGCTTGAGGAACATTTTTTCCCAATTATAGTTTTACCTTTCTGTGGCCATTCTCTTGTCAATTTGTTAACCCTGTAAAGGCTGGAAATCAATCTATAGATTGTTGGAGGGGGGAGGGGGGGGGGATGATAATATTTACAGCGCAATTATTCAAGGCCAGCGAATCGAGCAAGAATTAGACCGATAACGTTAATGGTCCTGGTGCTAGGGAGGTTTACAAAAGATCGGGAAAATGTAAAAAAAAAAGTTTGTTTGTTTTTGGACAAACGTTACACATGTTTTTACAATCATTTTTCAATACTTTTCAAAAAATATAATTTCTATATCTGTCGACTAAATAACAAGAAAGTTATGGGCTATTTTAAACATTTTGTTTAATACCATTCAGGCTTTTTACCTATCTGAAGGCTTGTAGCCTAGTCTATCTATAAAAAAATTAGCAAAAAAGAATTCTTGAAATTATTACATATGCTTTAAAAGGCAACAAATTTTAAGGTGATAGTGCCAAAAATGATAGTGCTAGGATAAAACAACTTGAGGGAGGATGGTTTAGGGTTTTGAGGTCTTTCTTTTGTATATTTTGGTTAATACTGAGTTTAGTTACCAAGACAGGTGGTAGCAAGCTTCATATTCTCTCCTCCAATAGTTGTACACTGTACAAGATCTAGATCTAGCATCCCATATACACCTTTACAACAAGTAATAAAATTATAGATAAAACATTTGAAACTAAGAACTAAGCTTCTGGTATAGTGACTGGAGCAATAGTGGGCTGTAGTAGAGATATGTGCTGTGTTTACTTAATTACGAGATATGTACTCAGGATTTTGCCAAATACCGCTTCAAAACTGCAATATATCTAATAAAACAGCTACGCACCTCTGACCCTTTAGTAAAAGTAAATTTAACCTAAAGTCTGACCGCGTCATCTTGTTGAAACGGCTAGTCCTATTGAGTGTCTGCTTTTTTACCCAATGTCCAGGCGATACAGTACAAACCGGAAAGGTTGACCCGGCTCGGAAATTCAAATGTACTACGGCTGCTCGTCACAGCTTTGCAGTTTTAAAATTCTTATGCTCAGGGCTAAATGGGGTATGATTGGGTTTAAAGGATAGACTTAAAAATCACCTTGATCTCAAAAATTAATGCATAATTTTTACATCCGCATATTTGGATAAAACTAATTCGTCCAGTTACATGCGTCACATTTGAATGTTAATCAAATCCCTCTTTTATCTGGATTCATTGTACAATCAAATATTGTTGAGTACAACCACAACCTACACAGATAGAGGAATATGTAGAGATGCAGTATTTCATCGTTACTTAAATTTTGGGAATAATAAGATATTAGCGTACAACCGCTAATTCATCGTAACAACAATACCACAATTGAGAGTGTTTTGAAGATTGAAAATGAAAAAGATCTAGAAATTCGATTTTAAAGTTACAAGCCTGAGAACCCAGTGTTCTCCAAGTTACTCATAGTTACTCAAGCCGTTTACCTGCACTTGAACGATTTTACGGGAAAACAAACTTTTCGATATTAATCCATTCAACTAAGAATCAAAGCTATAAACATTCCTGTGAGTCTCCCAAGGTTCTCCATCAAATTTTGATGCAAATCGGTCCAGGGGTTTTTGAGTTATGATCGGACAAATAAGCAGACAAACAGAGATTGCAGCTTTATAAATATAAATTTTCGTTTTCTGAATGTGAACACCATCGTAATTTCGATTTTTCTAGTGAGTGGCTGTTGGATGTGTCCTAAGAATAGCAATAAATCGACCAAAATTTGTCCAAGACGGGAAAGAAATTTAATTGTAATTCTTAAAAATAGGGAAATGCCAAAGGAATGGAATCTAATTTCCATTAACTCAAATTTTCTAATTTGCTTGTCTTTGCAACCTAATTATAGTAAATCTTTGATATTTAAAACTTAGATTATTTAATCTAACAGAATTCATGATGGTCTCCGACATATTGTTGCAAAAATATACGGATCAGAATCTGAGTTTGTGACAAACTTCTGAACCCAAATAAGTTCAAAAGTTGTATGATCCGAACTATGTAGTTCAAGAATATTGGTCTATAGTCTTTACCGACCGTCTAGTGTACACGGTGTGTGTTTAACCAACGCGTTTTATGCAAAAGAATTAGTCGAGCTGAACCATAGTATACCTGTTTGGGCATTGATGCTCCCTACCGTATCCTAAACATATAAAAATATAATAATATGGAAAGTTTAGAAAGTTTAGGTGCTTCTAAGTTCTTTATATTACTTACCCCATTGACTAAGATTATTATAATCATAGTATCCGCTGTAAGCTTGGTGTTCTCCGTACAGGTGATGATCGTCATAATAATCATGATGATAATTGTTTTTATAATGATGATCCTCATAGTGATAGTTGAACTGTGAACTGTGCTGATGATAATTACCTCCTTTATTATTTATCATGTATTAAAGTATAGAAAAGTAATACTTTATAGCAATAATTAAGTGTATTTGATGTTGATACAAAGCAATAGTTTACTATGACAGTATTAGTCAAGCCACTTATAAAGTGAAATGGGTCTGTTTACAATGCACAATAACTTTGTTTAATGCTCATAGTACTATTTAATGTCGTGACTTGACGCATTGAGTTCAAAGGTCTACTTCCTATTTCAGAGTTAACTAGTTATCACTGTTTAGAAGGATAAAAAAAAACAATTTTTAAAATATTTTGTTAATATCTTTTACAGAATCAATGAAAAAAATTCTAATGCTAAAAAAAAAATTTTATTAGTATAAGATTTATTTCTTTAAAATGTTTAGACTAAAATAAAAAAGTTCAAATCATCAAAATTACCTGAAGGATAGTAGTAAGGATATGGATTAGGATTATGTCCTGCTATCTCTGTAATCTAAAAATTAAATAATTTTAAAATGATCTTACTAAGTACAAAGTAAAAGAAATACTTTATAAAACAATGAAACAATTACGGAAATTTAAACTCCAGATAGACTAATTCCGTAGAGACAAACTAAGCAAAGGATGAGGACAAATTCAGAGCTTGGCTCTCTGTGAGTTTACGAGTTTACTTGAAATTACAATGACAATAATAATTGTAAAGCTTTTAAGCTGATATTGTTATTATTCTTATTTCTAAAATAAAATCATTTAAAATAAAATATAAACTTTTTCATCAAAAAACAGACTTTAACTGCGACCGTCGTAAGCCGTTTAAGACTCGTTAAACAGCGCTGACCAATCAAAGAAAAAACAGAAATGAGTAAAAAAGAAATTGATTCTTTAGTCTTTACCACAAACTAAAATTCCTAGCAACGTTATCAATATGATAAGAACCTGTGATATTATTTGATCTAATATAATTTATAGTTTAACATTGTTGGTTACAAAAATATAGTGATTAGAAAAAAGAAATTTGTAGCAACAATTCAATCATATCTCACCTTCAAAGAAAGAAACAACAAAGCAAAACATGGTAGAACCATTTTAACCCTACACCACTGCTTTCCTTTTCCCTACTGAGGCAGCTACTTATTCTATTCTTTATAACGTTTCACGCCCTCTATTATCTAGATCAAGAATCTAATTTGAAATCCTTTTGTTTTTAAACTATTGTCAGTCTGCAGTTCAGTGTTTAGTGTATACACAGAATATGGAAACTTTATTTCTATTGATTCCAAACCAGTATTTAAGAAAATGATCAAGAGTAAAATCATCTCAATAATCCCATAGTATGTAAAATGTAATATTTAGAGGCGGTTACAGGGAGGGGGGGGGGCTATGGTGGCTACCCCCCCCCCCTTGTAGAAGTACCCCCCTCACTGTAGCCTCAAAAATGGTTAAGGTCCAGTATACGCCACTGGTAAAATTACATAGGTTAAACTTCGCAAGTTTAAAAATTTTCTCTGAAAAAGTAATTCATTAATTTCTGCTAATTTAGAATATCTTTTCTAGAAATTATTAGATATCATGGTCATTTTTTAATAATTTTTTATTAAATTATCATGTTAAATTCCAAATATATCATTGTCTCGCCCTATTTCCATAGTTTAGTTGCATCTTAAAACTGCAGTTGCACTTCTGATGCAATTTCTTCTTTGTGTATAAAGTTAAAGAAACACCGCCCAAATCTTTTATTTATATAATTCATGTATTTAAATTCATTTTATCTCGTATTTAATCCGGGAATCCAAAACAAAACGTATTTAAAGGGAATGTTCACCACAATTTAGTAAAGGGTATTCAATGGCGAAGACTTAATACATTATTATTATTCTTAAAAAGGAGGGTTTAGAATTCAATATCAAACAATTAGTTCAAAAATAATTAAAAGGATGAACAGTGAAGGCGCCAGAGAGAAAAATTGCAGAAAGTGATGTTTTTTTTATTTTTGACAAATATTAACATTTGACACATAACTCGTTCTCCAGTTTTCAATGACTTCTTTTCAAAAAGTAGCAACAGTATTTTAAAATTTTGAACTTTTAACTCCCCCCCCCCCCCGCCATTTTAGGGTTAACATCAATTGACAATATTTTTCATTATTATAGTTGGATACGGAATAGAGGATATTAAATACGAATGGTCAAAAGGTAATTATTAATTAGTATTAATTAGGAGGGGAAATGTGTTCCATTTTGTAATTTTTACGGGGCTTATTGTGTTTTTAATCATTTTCCATAATGTTTAGAGAACGGTGTTAACATAGCAGCGGATATGAAACTTTCTCAGGTATAGCAAATCTTTTTAAATTAAAAGAATTCGAGAGATTACTTTTGTTTCATCTCTGTTAAACACTTGGGTATGATTGATTTTACCCAACAAATTGATTGTGTGTTAAAAATAACCTTTGAGCAATACAATTTGTTTTATTATTTTTTTTTAGTTTGATCTGATCTCCACTTTGACTGGGAATTCAACAACTAAACTAAATGATGGTAAACTATATCTGTATTTTGTCAAAAGTGTCATCGAGAAGCGCAAATGTGGTATTTTTAACGTAGGGGGGGGGGGGGCAACATTTTAGATCGGTGTTTTATTTGGTCGGATTATAATTTTCTGAGACTTGAATCTTAACATTTTGTTATACCCTTCTTTAACAACAACTTAGTTTTCACCATTTGGCGCTTTGAATTTTTATCCTTTATAAATAACAAATATTTGAATATAGAGTTATAACAGGATATATTTAGGTTTACATTCGACATTGCTTGTTCACTTTCATCTGCACAGACATATGGGAGATTTTGTTATTCAGGTCAGTTCTAATCAAGGTCAAGGTCAAGAAGAGTGAAAAGAAATGGTTTATTTTTTCTAGGGCAAATTCATGAAAAAGAATTGTGGTAAACTTTAGATCGTTTTTAAACAAATCCCAACCCTACTCTCTAGCACTAGAATTATATCATTTTCTTCTCAATATATTTCGCCAAAAACTTTGGCATCATCAGGAGTTTGTCCTATTAAATAACAGATATAAGCAAAAAATAAAAATAAANCCCCCCAGCAGGAATAGGGTTAATCCGTGAAACAAAACAAGAAAAAAGCTGACTTGTATTTTAACAATCTCTTGTTTACCAAGAAAAGATATGTTGTGACTTTTGTTTTCTCGATTCTTTAGTAATATTCAAGCCAAATCAACTTCATCAGTGAGGCTATAATGATTAACATTAATGATTGAGCTTTTTAAAGGGATTAACAATACAAGTTTCAACCATTGAATGTATTTTGGTAAAGTTTTGAAGGGATACTTGTAAAGAGTAGAAAATAAACAATGTCTTCTTTCAAATTGGAAATTTGAGAACAATATATTTAGTTATCATTTTAGATTTTACTTAAACAATATCCAAGCTTTGGTTTATTTAATGAATCGAAAAATTGCATTTTAATGCAAAATAGAAAACCTAACTTAATTTTCCCCATTCGACGTTTTTTTTTTATTAATATTATTCTAAATAAGATATGTTAATATACATAAAAACTTTGATAGTTTTTGCTTTTATTTCTCCTAAAAGCTGAGTGATAACTTTGGTTTTAACTACATAATTTTTTTGACTTTCCTGTTGGAACATTTCTTGGATGAGTTTAGCCATTAACCTGGATTTAAAAATATAAATGATCAAAGTTTTTTGAATTTAGGTTTATGGACCGTGCATTCTTCTAGTTGTTATATCTTGGGTTTCATTTTGGTTAAACAGAGAAGCAACTTCAGATAGGATATCCTTAGGTTAGTACACAGGATACAAGATAGGTGATACATGATACAGAGTATTAGATATAGGATACACAATACACAATTTAGAGTACACAGGTTACAGGATATCCTTAGGTTAGTACACAGGATACAAGATAGGTGATACATGATACAGAGTATTAGATATAGGATACACAATACACAATTTAAAGGACACAGGATATTAGATATAGGATACAGAATAAGAGGGTCATACTAGAAAAAAGCTACACTCATAGAACGCTACTTAGATAAAACGCTACTGCATAAAATAATACACTTATAAAACGCTACCAGATATAATACGCTAGTAAAGAAAAAAACGCTACTCTATTAAAATATAATAATATTAGGTTTGAAATTTAGATTGGATGATAAATTGTATTTTTTTTTATCATTATTATTGTGTTTTTTGAGGTAGCGTTTAATGAGTGTAGCGTTTCCTGGGTACACCAATTAGAGTACAGGATACAATATACAGATACAGAATATTGGAAACAGGACACAGAACATTGAATGCAGGATACAGAATAAGAGATACGGGATACAGAAAAATAAATACGTAGGATACAGAACACAGGATAAGATATCCCTGGGTACAGAATAAGAAATACAGGATACAGGATCGATAAGATATACAGGGTACAGAATACAGAATACAGTATAAGAAATACAGGATACAGAATAAGAAAAAAATGAGTTCTCTAGGTATAACTACGGTATTAACGATGACATTTCTTGGCCTTGAAGCCAGGAAGGATCTACCCAAGGTTCCTTATCCTACTGCTTTAGGGACAAAATTCAATAAAAACGTTTTTTAAATTTAGAAATATTTTTGAAAGAAAAAGAAAGGGTTTAAAGACGTTTTCCCAATTACCTCATTATCAGTTCTCTGTTATGTTATTTTAACTCCTTCCCCCCCCCCTCATCCTCCAGGGAAGAACCCATATCTCAAAATCCTACTAATCAATCTCCACCTAACCTTCTTCACAATATCAATCCTGCTTTTTTTATTTCCCTATTTATTCTTTATTTATAACATATTCCGGATGCAGGGTCGGCAGGTTAGTTTTTCTAAAACAGACTTTTTTCTTTTTCCTTAATTTGTTTCAATTTCTTTACTTTTCCTAAATTTTAGCCTTTTTTCCTCTTTTTAGTGCTTTTTTATTTTTTAAATTTTTCAACTTTAATTTTTCTAATAAAAGAAAAATGAGCATTAACTATACCCTTATAGATTGCTGTTTTTTTTGGTTGGTTGTTTATTTATTTTTTTTTTTGGGGGGGGGAGAGGTTTTTCCATGAAAGAGGTAGCAATAAAAGTTATTTTCAATTAAACAGTTCTAATCGAATTGAAATTTTTCTTTTAGATTATTTTGTTTTCATTTCATTTTTGTACATATTCTTCACTGTTATTCAGGTATTCATAATTAAAATAAAGATAAAATGCATATCTACTCATGTTAATATTTTTTGTTGTTTGAAAAATAGATATCTATTTGAAAAACATATCTTGTGACTAACTCGTATATTTTGTTTTACCAAAATAGAAGAAAAAAACGTGAATTCTCACTTTTAGAAAGAATTAGATTACTAATAAGATGTGTTTGGTTGACGAAAACCTTAATCAAGTTTTATACCAGCTGTATGAAGTGCCCAGCGTTGCCTGTAGAATTTTTGAAAAAAAATAAAAAATTTGGAATTTTTTTCTATCTTTTAGCCTTGTACTCAAAAAGTTAGCCGTTTGGAGATCTATGGCTAACATAAAATGTACATATATATATGTATAAATATATATATATATATATATATATGTTTATGATCGAAAAACCTTATAAAATATATATTTAATTAAGTTTGGTATTGTTCATCATTTTACAAAATACGGTTCCGGAGAGATTTATTCAGGTAAAGAGAAACTTTAAAAAAACATTTTGTTCATATTTAAAAAAAAATTACTCCCTTTTATGTAAAAACAGAAAGTTTCAGTTTAATCTTAAACGACAAAATATTTTTGGAAAATCATGAAATAAAGAAGAAAAATGCCAAAAAAATTAAGCAAAATATTACAAATTACACAGTTTTGAAAAGACCTTTATTTCAGATATGTATAAATATTTCTAAATAAGTGTTTCTGCAAAATAAAAATTCAGAAAGAAACTATAAGTTTTTGCCACAAACTCTGATTTTCTAACCCCTATATCATTGTGACCCGATGTCGTAGATCTTAGATATTTCGAACTATGAAATCTGTTTGATCAAATAGTTGTAGTTTGAAATATCACAGGTTTACACCATCGGGTTACAAAGATATAGGGATTAGAACATTTGAAATTGTGGCTACAACTCAGTTCCTTTACCCAGCAATTATAGATTAATTTAAACTTGTAGATGAATTTGATTTGGTCGAGAATACAGCGTTTATGCAAGAATTGGTATAGTATAGTTTATGTTACACGTCAAACTAAAGTAATTAATTGAATTCTTAAAAGTTTTCTAAAAGAGGTATGGGAAAGAACAAACATGTTTTAAATTTCTAGTATACAACGGAAAAATACTTGTTCGACTGATTCTTGAGAGTAAAATCAAAGATAGAGGAGCTACAATGTCACAAAGTTGTACCGCGTAGATTATACCTGCTCTTCGGTCTAATTTGCAGTGAGTAATGTATAGTAAAGAAAAAGTCGTTGTTTAAAAATATTTGATTTAAGTGCAAAAATATAAATTGAAGCTAAGTCATAATGATTTTATAGCCATATGGCCATTTGGCCAGTTTATGGCGGGCCATAAATTAAATAGACTTTATTCTGTCTTATTTATTCAATACAAAATTTATCTTTTTTCATTTACAAAATATTGATGACATTAATAAAGTGAGTAACATGCATAAAAAGTCAATATTCTTTAACAAGAATTTGTCCAAAGCATTTAAGCTTAAATTTTTATGTAGACAACTCTAGAGGAGAACAACTCCGCACATCAGAATAAACATCTAGAAAACATACTGAGGTTAATAAATTCTTATTTTAAATGTGATAAATGTGATCACCGACTATTATTTGTGTAAAGAACGTAATTTCATTTAAACCTTAGTAGAAATCTATAAAGATTTGTCTTATAAGAAATATGATTTATTATTTTTGTTTCTCCTTCTGGAAAATTGATTATTTTACTTTGCGGTTCTCAATAAAAGTGACTTTTAGATTCATGTTTGCAGAGAAAGAAAAGAAAATTAAGAGAATTTATAACTTTTTTGTTTTTTTTTTGTAAAGATTCTTTTTCATTTGTAAAATATTTCTTACACTTTGTTCATAAATTCGAAGAAAATGTTCTATATTTCGAAGAAAATATTCTTTATTTCGAAGAAAATATTTTATATATTTCGAAGAAAATGTTCTATATTTCGAAGAAAATGTTCTATATTTCGAAGAAAATATTCTATATTTCGAAGAAAATGTTCTATATTTCGAAGAAAATATTCTATATTTCGAAGAAAATGTTCTATATTTTGAAGAAAATGTTAAGATTTCATTTTACAGTGTACCAGATACAAAGGGAAACTTTAAACAAGAACAACCGAGAAGAAAGATACGAAAGAATTGTGATTACAAAAGGTACAGAATACTTTAAATATTGAACCCACCTGAGTTGGGAATATTGAACCCAGCTGAGTTGGGAATATTGAACCCAGCTGAGTTGGGAATATAGAACCCACCTGAGTTGGGAATATTGAACCCACCTGAGTTGGGAATATTGAACCCACCTGAGTTGGGAATATTGAACCCACCTGAGTTGGGAATATTGAACCCACCTGAGTTGGGAATATTGAACCCACCTGAGTTAGGAATAATATTGAACCCACCTGAGTTGGGAATATTGAACCCACCTGAGTTGGGAATATTGAACCCACCTGAGTTGGGAATATTGAACCCAGCTGAGTTGGGAATATTGAACCCACCTGAGTTGGGAATATTGAACCCACCTGATTTGGGAATTCCTGAGAAGACCGAGATACTCTTATTAATTCTTCTGATACAACAGTAAACTAGGGGTCCTGGATAATAAATCAGCGAGGGAGATTTACAACGCTACCCTTGAAACCTTTATCTAATAAAGTGGAAGATAACCTCGTTCTTCTGAAACGAAAAAAATATATCCGTTTTTTTCTTCAGAATCAGAAAGTCACTTTGTCAGAGAAACCTTAAAGTAAAGGAAACAGTTTATATAAACAAAATATGGTTATCTAAAGGTTGTACATAAAAAAGGTTTCCACTTACATTCTGAATTCTAGAGGTCTTCATATTGGGAAATACAATCTTGTGATTTCATTTTTACTTAGTATATGTAATTAAAATGATTAAGACGTTGCACTTTTGGACATTGCAGCTGCCAGCTATCTGAACGGTAGACATTACATAGACTCTATCAACCTTCTAAACTCTACAAAGGTTCTTATTTTGTGTCCATCTACTTCTTCTCTTTACTGATGTTTCTCTTCAGGGCTGGCAAGGCAGGGATTCTACTGTTCTCTAGTTTGTTTTTTTATAACATCAGCTATTCAAGTTGATTTTAAGGTTTCATTCCTGGGGTTCAGTTACTGATGAAAGGTACAGCTGATCCATACATTTGAAGATACTTAGCAGAGATTATTATCCTTTTTTTGCTGTAAACATATATATAAACTTTTTTAGTTTTATATTTATGATGAGGATTGTTGACACTTAATCACTTAATTAGGATTTTAATTTTTTGAATTGGGTCTGAAATATCTGAAATAAGCATCCTTCCACTGCACTCCCTTTCACAACCTGGCAATCTGTTTTTGGCTGAAAAAATGTTTTTTAAATCTTTGGTCAATGCAAACTTTTTCCTTATTTGTATGTCTATGATTTAGAAAATGTTCAGCCTAATATTCGTAGATTTACATTGAATAAAAGAAGAAAAAGGTTTGATCGGACAAAGCTTTCAAGGGTACCGTTGTAAACCGAGAATTACCATCTTTGCTTGGAGGGTCACTTGCATTGAACTTAACATTAACTTTGGGACCCATTTTCACCAGATATGAAATTTTTTTGTATTTACAATTTTAAACTTTCGTTGGTTGGATTTTTTTTTTCAAGTAATAAAATATATTTAAAGTGTTTAAGCTTTTTGCGACGGATTTTGAATAAGAGATCATACATACGTGACTGAAAAAAATCCTAACTCCGACAAAATAACACGTTTTGTGAGGTACTATTTGATCTTTTTTAAAAATCAATGTCCACATTTTTAGAAATAAATTGTTGAAAAGTAAAAATCTGTTTTAGCTGAACATATAGTAAATAAAGAATAATCATCAAGGTGTCATCTGCAAGTTAATCCTCTGAATTCAGTCTCCAAGATTGATCGTATATCGAGGTAATCAAGTTTATAAAATACAGGTTTACCCACAAAGGATAAGACTGTAAAGATGACTTAAAGGGAGTGTTTGCGAAAAATGAAAGGGGGTATAGGCTTAATGCGATAAAAAAGCGCTTTTGATCGCTACTAATCTTACTTCTATCTGTTGCGTCTATAAGGAGAAAATTGTTAAAAACGACTTACACCGAAGAACGCAGCGTCCAGACTAATTCGGAAAGCTAGATGCAACATTTAACTCGGATCGTAAACAAATCAATTTAATTCCAAACAAATCATTTAGATATTACTAACAGTAGTCATCGATTATTTTTCGACGCATTCGTAAGTAGTTGATCAAAAGCGCTTTTTTATCACATTAAGCCTATACCCCCTTCATTTTTCGAGAACACTCCCTTTAAGATTATTCAAATATGACAATCCCAAGTTTGAATTCAGTCTTCTGAATTGAATGTGGTCTCTAAACATGCCTTATTTAATTTTAATTTGGCAAAGAAAGAAAAAAGTTTATAGTTGCAGAGATCGAATCATTAAAATAAGTAAATAGAAAGTATAAATTCCGTAAAGGAGTGTGAGTTAAGAATGTGTTAAATATTTACTTTTTAAATATTTTTTGTTATATAAAACATTACCTAGTCTTCTAATCTTATTGTTCAGGGGAATGTTTCCAATAAGTTACTGCCTTATGAATATATTCTACTGGAAAATATATTTAGAAATGTAAAATTTAGATGAAAAAATAAATGTTATATAATTCCAATTCAGAGAGAGCTGAAATTGTTATGCAGTGGTAGGCGATTATAAAAATACAATGAAGGCGAAATAATTTTGATTCATGTCAGGCTGTTTAATAGCTTCTCTTTGATTGAAAAAATCTTGTAAACAATCAAAAATTAAATAAAAAAGTCGTTTTCAGTGCATTAATTTTATCGCCTACCACTGTATGATATATCTTTACGTACATATATTTATGCTCGCTCTTTTTTTAATCTGTCTTCGTTGCCGGTTATTTAAATTTGCTGATAGGCTTACTATTATAGCTTAAAAATTGTTTAATTCTAATAATTTCCTCCGTTGGATTGGCATAGTAGTAATCCGTAAGTTACTTTTATACACAGAAACCACAGTTGAAATCAATATATGTTTACTAGAGGAAATCATAGATAATATGATGTACAGGGTGTCCCAATAAACATGGGAATTCAGTGACGAATTCGATGTCGTTTTTTTTAAGGATTAGTATTGTAATATCTTATGTCAAGACATATTATAATTTCGTCTGCTATAGAGTATATTTTACGTTTAAATATAAGGCTGTATTATTATTCTGTGTCTCAACACGAAAACTATGAACAACCCTGAAAAGTATTTTAGTGAGATTAAAATGTTTGTGAAAACTGATTGTACTCCACGTATTACAATAATTCCAGTTTTTTCATATCCATTAACAGAACACTATAGGTGCATTCATGGCCCCAATTCATGAACAAGGTCGATATAGGTGCATTTATGGCCCCAATTCATGAACAAGGTCGATATGCCTTTGAGGAGATAAGTTTCATCCTGTTTATTGGGACACCCTGTAGCTCATTCATTCTGTTTATTGGGACACCCTGTAGCTCATTCATTATTTATACTGGGACACACTGTACCTCATTCATTCTGTTTTTTGGGACACCCTGTAGCTCATTCATTCTGTTTATCGGGACACCAGCTGTAGCTCATACATTCTGTTTATTGGGACACTCTGTAGCTCATTCATTATGTTTATTTGGACACCCTGTAGCTTATTCATTCTTTTTATTGGGACACCCTGTAGCTCATTCATTCTGTTTATTGGGACACCCTGTAGCTCATTCATTCTTTTTATTGGGACACCCTGTAGCTCATTCATTATGTTTACTAGGACACCCTGTAGCTCATTCATTATGTTTACTGGGACACACTGTAGCTCATTCATTCTGTTTACTAGGACACCCTGTAACTCATTCATTCTGTTTACTGGGACACCCTGTAGCTCATTCATTATGTTTACTGGGACACACTGTAGCTCATTCATTCTGTTTACTGGGACACCCTGTAGCTCATTCATTCTGTTTACTGGGACACCCTGTAGCTCATTCATTCTTGATAAACACAGCTAAATGCCACAATTAATTTTAAAATGGAGAGACACTTGAAATTACTTGTACAACTACATTTTTCCTTTCAGAAAAAGTTTGGTAAATGAAGAAGTTTTATAAGTCAGAAAACTCTGAAATAGGAAGACAACTTTAAAGCAATACTTATAAGTGTATTTGATGTTGTTTGTGTTACAAAGCAAATAATGTTACTAGATTCTCAATAAATCTCTTATAAAGTGAAATAGGTCTGTTGACACCACACAACTGCTGTGTCTTATGATCATTGACCCTTTTTAAAGTCAAAACTTTAGTTTAAAAGACATCTTCCTATTCATAGTTTTCTGGTTATCACTGTACACCTTTGCGACCTAGTACATTGTTACATCCGATGGAAATTTATAAACACAATTAAATAAACAATACATAAATATGATCGCGATTAAGTTTAATTGACATTTGCATGATTTAAAACAAATGGGAATTCAAGGTTATCCGATTCCGAACAAACCATCATAGAAATTTGCAATGCTTTTAAGCAAGCAAGCATTTTAATACTATATGCGATTCCGTGGATTTAATTAGCGTTGGTATATCGATCTGCTCTATCAAGGGATTTACAACACAATATTTTGACATTCTGAAATACAACTATAAAAGAAATTTTCCTCTTATGCTTGTGGCCGGCCGTAATAACTGAAAAAATCAAGACGACATTCAATACAATATTGATTTAAGGCCCAATATTTAGGAATAGGGCCATTTGTTTTTTCAAGCTGCTTTGTGTTGATTTAATCTGCACTAAAAGGGACAGAGGCGTAATTTCAAATTTTTAAAGGAACAAGTCATATTCACAACGATACTCTTGAAGGCTTCGTCTGATCAAGGATTAATGAAGAGATCATGAGTTATCCGTATTCATCTATTCGAAAATTCATTATTTTCATTTTTGGTTTTTATAGAAAATGACTTGTGCATTTCCTGCAAACGATGGGAATATTGCAATAGTATTTAACACTTTTCAAACTGCAGGGTGTCCCACAAAACAAATGTTATAAAATTTATTTATATATCTATATTTCAAACTATTGATTAGGGATATCACAAGAAGAAAATAGTTGCGATGTTTGTTGATGTATCTCTCTCCCAACAGCGAGGGCTAAAAAATATCAAAATCTAGAATTGTTAATATCTTTAAGGGATTTTTTACCATCGATCTTTAAAACTAATTATTTTTTATTTTCAATCTTATCCAAAAAAAAATCATTTCTTACCAAGCTGCACAAAAAGTAGGAGTATTACCATTAGCATACCTAGAAAATACCACTTTAATGATCTGGAACCCAGTTAAAATATTGGTTAAAAAATTCAAGAAAATGTTTGTATTTATTTTGAAACATATCCTTGATTTTTTTTAAATTCTTAATAAGTTCTATTAAATATTGCCTTTTAATATTTAATATAGTCCATTGAAATTGGTAAACCGATTTTACATACAGGGTATTAGATCGTCAATAGGTCTAAATTACGATTTTCTGGACTATAAGCAGAAAATTTTAGAATCATGAATCATTTGAAAAATTGAATAAGGCAAATATAAAAAGTTTCTTGCAGAAAATGCTAGGGTTTACAGGTATTATATGTTTATTTTGGCGTTAAAGCTTTGAGATAATCTAATATGATATGCGACGCTCATTAGTAAATTTAAGCTAAAAACAGGAGCGTACAAAGGTATAAAAAAGTATAAGTGAGTTGTTAAATTGCGTCACTCTAAAGTTGAGACTGACTAAATATTTTATGACTAACTTTCAGAAATATCTAATGTCTACTCAGTGCTTCTTTCTTTTAACATGACCATAAGTCTTTTTTTAAATTGTAACCGATTATATTTACACGTGTCCCAATATACCAGTAGAAACAATTACAAAACTTCTAGCGAAGTTTCATAATTTAACCCTATAAAGGCTGGGGGGGTCTGAATCTATGTATTGTCTTGGTGGAAAGTTTGGCCCCCCCCCCCTAGAAAAAAGGCCTTAGACCAACTTTTCAAGGCCAGCTCATAGAAAAAATTAGACCAATAACTTTAATATTTTGGTTGCTAGGAAGGGTTGAAAAAAATGCCTAAAATGGGTCAAAAAAGTGAAGAAAAAAAACATATTTTTTGTATTAAACAAATATTAAAGCGTAACACATCTTTCTCCATGCATTTTTTAAGGGTTTTTTAAAATATAATTGCTAGATCTGTAGCTTAAGTCACAAAAAAATTATGGGCTATTTTCGATTTTTTTCACAGACCAGACTTTTTTCCGCCCTTTACCATACCCTATAATTAAAAAAAAGTGCTATGACAAAAAACTACTAGGGGGGCGCCAAACGCCTGTTTAGGGTTAAAAGAAATCACCAAGATGACAATCATCTCACAGTTTTTTTCATGCACTGTATCTAACCTATGCCAACTGATATTAGAGTCCAGCTAAAAATAGGAAAACACAAAGGTTCCGCATTCGATCCTGGAACATTGTTATTTTCCCGTTCTTCATTTTCCTGTAATTAACGTGTAGTATGCAGATACTTTAAATGACGTTGAAATTTACTTAAACAAAATAATCCTGTATTATATTCACATCAAACTTTTTTTTAATCACCTTGAAACCATATCATCTACAGTTAACGTTAGCTAAACTATTTAATTCAAAAGTTTCAGCAAAAGATATCAAAATAAGATTATGAATATGAAGCTTAACTCTAGAAACCCAAAAGTTCCCGGAAGTTAAAGGAATCTAAACATTAAGTGCATAATAATTTTTGAATATCCCGATACTATAAAAAAATTTAAAATGTTTACGATAAAAACCTGAGTTAATAGAATAGAATGTTCCGAACTGTGATCTCTGATAGTAGATGCATCATGCTCAATTTTATCTTGATCTAAATCATTCCTCTCTGAGTTTTCAGTTTCATACTCATCCGTCCCGAAGCTATGCAGCTCAGGGCTTAGGGGACTAAACACACATTTATTTTTTTATTAAACATATTTTGATTATGAAAAGTCATGTATGCTTTGTTTAGAACACTGAATTTTTAATCTTTTTACCTTAAGATGTTAGTATAAGAAGTAAGAACCGACTCACTTCGAGGAAAACAAGGACCAAACATTAAGAAACGTGTTCTGTATATATAGTCGTTTTTCTACAGAACACGTTTCTTAATGTTTGATCCTTGTTTCAGCTCACTTAACTGTGGAGAAACCGAAATTGAATATTGTTCTCAGAAACAACAGTATATGTCAGTCAATTTAGCATAGACAAATGTTTTTTCCTGGTATCGTTGTAAATCGGACTTGTATCCACTCTATGAATGGAGGATCACTTAGAATTACATCTACAGTCTCTCTAACTTTTATCTACAGGGTTATCCACTAAAGATGAGACCGTAAAGACGACCTGAAACTCATAAATTAAGCATTCTTCCTTTAATATTGTCTTTTAATGGCCTATTTATTGACATGTCAACGAAAAAACAATTTACAGGTGCAGAGAATCCTAAGTATAAGGAAATAGACAATATAAAGTCTGTACAGTCGTCTCTGAAGTCTCATTCTTTGTGGGTAACCCTTTATATTGGGTTATAAGATTTTAATTTTCTAAAAAAATATTTGGATAGTTACCCAAGTATTTGATCTTGTCTTGAAGGTGTATTGTTCGTCTTAGACATTCTTTTTAATTTTCTTGTAAATCCAAATTAATTGTGTTTGTTTAGCCTTCTGCAGGATAATTTTTAAAGAAACTTTGGAAGGAAAGCTTATTTTAAAAGAAAAAATCTAAAAGTAATTCGTACTAGTATTCGAATATTTATTTCATTGGTCTGGCTGTGTTATGTAATTTTTAGTTTAACGTAAACAGCTGATTTGATCGGGCCCAAATTTTTGAAGAACCTCCAATAATTTTGCCGCAAAATTATTAAATTTTTAAAGATGGGAAAAACGGCGAAATATTAGCCTGCATTTCTCCATAATTTAAGAAGAAAATGATTGCAGTTAAAAACTTAAAGTATCAATATAGTAAAAAAATTACCACAAAAAAAGAGCGCATAGTATATATGTAATATATATGTAGGATTGATGTGTAGGTATAGAGGTATCGAAGAATACTGGTAAATGGTAGGATGCTTACTCACTACTCTAGGTTATAAATACTAGAAAATATTGGATAGGTATCGTAAACAATAAATTCTTATTTAGAAATAATCTTTTGGTTTAAATTGGTTTTCAGGGCTCATCATCCAAGCTAGGAGATTATTAAAACCATGAAAATAGATGGCAAATGGGGGGGGGGGCGAAAAGGCCTTGCCCCTCAAAAGCTCGTTTATTAAATCTACTCAGTTCATCATTCAAAATTGTATGACTTCTAAAGTTATGATGAGTCAAATAAACATGTCAACAGAGAATATTTGATAAATATAAATATATATTATCAATCTCTGTTTATAGATGTCTAAGTGTATATTTGTATGTCATATCATAAAAAAAGAACCTGGACTGATTTATCTCAAATGGTGGAACCACCTTGCTAGAACCTAAGTTTCCCTTAAAAAGTCAACCCTTTCAATTTAGACTTTTCAAACCGTTATAAGAACATTCCAATAGTTCTTCTGAGTTTCCAAATAAAAAATTCAGGAAAAAAAGTTATGATTCGACAAAAAATAAAAATTATATAAATATATATTTATTTATATACAGTGAGCACCAGAAAACTCTGGAATAGGAATAGGACGAATAAGACTTTTAGACTAAAATTATGAATTTAAATTGTCCAATGAACTTGAGACACAGCAATTGAGAGATGTAAAGAGAACAATTTGACTAAATAAGTGCATTTAACATTTTCATGAAAAAAAAACTTTTCTTCTGCATTTGCCAGGGGTGTTTTTTAATAGTTCAAGTTCTTTTTTTTAATGGTTGTAAACATCCTTTGTTCCCATGCATTTTCCAATATGAGAGGAATGTTTTCCGGGGACGTTTTTTTAGAAAATCACACTCATGGAATCCCAAATAAAGCCCTATAGAATAAAGTCTCCAAATGGTAGGACTTTATTTTCAAAGTTTTTTATTTCAATGACTTTTTTCCTGCGGACTTTTTAGTGCCAAAATTTAGGACTTTATTTTACGAAAACCTTTTTTCAGAAAACAATTTAATAACTTAATAATAAAACTATTTGCTTTCTAACATTATCTAATACAAGTATTGCTAAAATGTCGTTTTTCTGTTCCAAAGTTTTTTGGTTTTCATTGTATATGAATAGACATGAGTGTAACCGGAGAGCAAACCCTGAATATTGGTTCTCACCGAGTCAATTAGTTTTCTGATTATTCTGCAGATAAATTGTGTACAGCACATAACTACATGTAAACTTGTACAGTACACGTTTATTCATGACCTTTCTAAAGCAAAAAAAATTAATAATTTGCATTTCTCAGTGTTAATGATGTAACTTTGAAATCTGATTTACTTTTGATCAATAATTAAAAAAAATCACATTTTTTTAATTTTTCTAATACAAAAATGTTGTTAATTTTTTTTTACCATGAAACCCATCTTTAACACCCTCCACTAAGCATTCGGTCTGCCTCGTACTGTACACAACTTCTGAGATTTATTCTGTACCGTCATGACAATTGAAACAAAAACTTTGTACCGGCACGACTTTCATTACTAAACTTAGGTACAGGTGACAACAACGTCGTTCTCAGCATACAATTAGTCTAGATTTGATTTGAAAATAAGTAGATTTTGTATCATTGATAAACTCTAGTCATGTTAAATAATGAAAACCATTAGTAGTTTCATGCACAACGCGTCTATTAATTTCTTTAGTAAATATTTTTTCGTTCAACATGTCCGGCCGTTTTACAACATTAATAAAGCTGGAATGAACATTTTACTGATGGGGTAAACTAAATAATAATAGAAAATATATGACATACGCTCCGTTCACTCTCTCATTAGGAATCTTAGCGTACTCTCTAATAAAGCATATATTTATCATAAAATATTACTAATACAATAGAAACATCAGTAGAGTTAAAATCATTTATTTACGACAGTGCAGTATTATTGTCATATGTCTCCGTCTGCATCACATGACCAGTATACTGCACTGCCATTGGAGGGAGTTCTGGTCACATGATACGGACGTATATCTTACAATATATGGTATGGTATAATTTTGACACAGTTTTGTGTCAATTTCTCGAGATAGGAACATCAGATAGATGTCTTATAGGTATCGTTCAACTCCTGAGAATATCAGGTTTCAGTCTATACCCCATTTAATTTTTCCTTTACATTTCCTTTCAGCATTGCAATTCCTTCTTCAGAAATATGATTTTATTCTGCTTCGACCTTTTTCTTTTACTTTTTTTGTATCGTATCATTGACAATCAATTCAATTATACGATTCTCTGGATAATTTTCTCCAATAGTACTTTATAGATCATCATACAGGGTGTCCAAAAAAAACATGGAAATTCAGGGACGAATTCGATATCGTCTTTGTTATGAATTAGCAATGTAATACCTAATTTCAAAAGCCATATTATTATGTCTGCTAGAGTTTATTTTATGAAAAGGGTAAAGATGTGTCTATAATGTCTCTACAAGATGAACAGTGAAGACGGACAAGTTTACTCTGTTTGTATACTGCAATTTTCTTGTTTTACTAAGTACAACCGTATGCAGTCAAAACATAAACAAACAAAATGTGAACATAGCAGACGAAACTCTTACAGACTACAGCTTTCTCAGTAGGTATCACTAAACTAAATCAAAGAATTATTTAAAAAGACGATATAGAATTCGTCACTGAATTCCCATGTTTATTGGGACACCATGTATTTATCTAAATTATTTGGCTATAGAAGGGGAAAAAGATCACAAAATTAGTCATTCTATAAAGTGTCATACATCGAACCCAATCACGAATATTCATATATTGTCATTAGTTTATTATCTTTTCCTAAAAAGTACGCATTACGACGCACACAGTTATAGATTTTTGGGACCTGGACCTGCCTCGATTAGACAGCTATAGTTGCTAATAAGGGGTGCAAGAAAGGATTCGAACCCACAATCTTCGGTGTTTGAGACCAATGCAGTTTTTACTTAATAAAAATGATCTAGTATTAATTATCTTATAACTAGTATCTTGAATAATAGTATAAACAGTCATAATCAGAGAGACCCGAAATAAATTCACAATTAATCAGGCGACTTTACATATATATATATCTCTGGCAATTTTAAATTCTTAAAAAACGCAGACTACGGTTTGGAAACAGCAAGACATAAGGGTATTTTATGATTATCGTTTCATCAATCATATTTTTAAAACTATATTGCTGTTCTTAACTTTATAACTAAAATTAACGGATACTTGAAATTTTATTTTTTTAATGGTTGGAACATACCGTTAACAGAACGACTAGAAAAAGTTGGAACATGCCCAGCCCTATTTAAGGGAACTGTTGTGAATCGGAAATGCCGTTCCCAGGCACTAGGTATGAATTACCTTTTCTGAGTTGGTGTTTATGCCTCATATCAACATAGCTGTACAGAAATGGAGGATTTATTTTAGAATTAGAGTGCATCCAAAGAATTACAATTTTGAAAATGATAAATTTTTGAATCCTTTATTGCTTTAGAAAAAAGAATTTTGTTGTTCAAGCCTTTGGCCACATCCATCATAGTGGTAGTCTGCNGGGGGGGATATCTATAATGAATAATTTATTTTTGTAATCACATTAATTTAACGGTTAATGAATAGACAAAAAGAAACACTGTTTTTAATCAAAAATCATTTGCTCTAAATTTGGTTTTTATCGTTTTGAATTTTAGTAAAATTGCTTAAACATTTTTAAACAAACATAGAATACTAGAATATATTGAGTTTCAGAATGTTGTATCTATAAATATAATCATCTTTGTTTTTTTGTTTGTTTGGATGTTCGACCATAACTCAGGAACCCCTCGACCGATTTGCCTCAAATTTGGGGAACTCGGTAGAATCACGGAAATGATCTTAACCCGGTTTATTAATTCTCTGTTGAGTGGATCGACTTTTATAGGAAAACTTCAGCAAAGCAAGGTTTCCCAGCTAGT